TGGTATTTTTTTTACTTGTACCTGTCAGTGTTGCCATTATTTGCTGTAAGTGACACATTTCAGAGTGGATAAATGAACTGGTCTGGCTTGGGACAGTTGTCAGAATCAGCTGGAAAACATGAATTCATGCTACAAAGAGTTTATCTTTCTTGCTGTATGAATCTTATGAATATGTTAAACTAACATAAAAGTACAAGTTAAAAACAACATGTATATTTGTTAAGAAGTTATTCCTCAAATCATCCTGCAGGACACATTGGACTCCTCCACATGCCGTGACTTTGATACCCCCGATCTAGATGGTCTTAAAGCTGTGCAACCGCCATGTTTTGTTTTGAACTTTAGCTGAATATTCACGATAATGTAGCTTGCTAGACTGTCAGAATAGAAGACCGCAAACGTTTTCAAATTTATATCACTATATCAGAGAAGTCAGAAAGTAATTGGTCATTGATCACGGAGGTCTTGGATAGTATTACTGCAACCAGAAATGTGGAGGTGTCACATGTCCAGTTAGTGAATACAGATTAATCTCGCCCACAAGCTCACACACACACACACACACGCACTTCTAAAGCCTTTTTTCTTAATATTATGGCTAGGCAAGGTCACCATGGCTGCCATAGACAGTACTGCCTGCAATCAGTAACGTCTTATAGGAGTGGATAAATAGAGCTGAGCTTTCCAGGAGCTGGATGTTACCTAATATTAATTAGAGCCAAACAAAAGCATTTAGGCAACATGTATGGTGCTTGTGTGTTTGTATCAGGACCTACGTGACGTTTACATCACAAAGGGCATCATTTGTCAACCCACCGATGAGAAACTCTCCTTCGCCGTCTGTCTATGTGGTCTATTAGTGCAGGAGGGTGGTACCATGCTGCTTTTCTCTTGACCGATACGTGTGTCCACGCAACTTTGATCCCAGCTTCGCTCCGGCGCATCACATTATACACAATCCCTCGCTTGTAGATGCACTAAAATCAAAGTTAAGGAGTCCTAGGGCAAATGTTTGAATTCTGCATGACCTCAAACAGAGAGGGGAGCTCAGAGGTGTCAGAGATGAATGTGATTTCTTTCAAAAGTTAATAGATTCTGTTTATATTTTGTCTGCTTCACACTATAAAAATGTTCAATTGGCCTATGTGTATACTCTGTCCTTTTATTCATATTTAAACCCTTTTATTCATATTTAAACATACGTATACTTAATGGTGCTGCCCCTACATAGCAATATGATTATAACATATACTCCAGCATGATATACAGTTTTATAGATTAAATTCTGATTCACAAGTTTAATTCAATTAGATCCCAATTTTGATTTTTGATTCTGATTCTCAAGCTCTCTATTTGAAAGGATTTGATTACAGGCTCTTTTTGTTATTATTTTTATTATTTATTCATTATTTTGATTTGATTCTGGTTCCTAAGCTCTTGATTCGATTAGACTCTAATTTTGATTTGGTTCTGATTCTCAAGGTCTTAATTTTTATAAGATTATTTGGTTTGAGTCATTTACTAGCTCTCATTGTTATCAATTTCTTTTTTTATTTGATTCTGATTCCTAAGCTAATGATTCGATTAGATTCCAAGTTCTATTTGAATCTTATTCAAATTCTGATTCTCAAGATCTCAATTTGGTAAGATTATGATTCATTTACAAGCTATTGATTTCATTAGATTCCAGTTTTGGTTTCATTCCTAAGCTCTCGTTGTGGTTGCATTCCAATTAAATCTGATATTTGATTCTTATTGACAAGCTCTTGAATCGATTAGATTACAATTTCCAGTATTCCAATAATCGAACTTGGATTAGGAATTAAATTGAATTCATTCATACACTCTTGATTTAGAATAGTTTCCAATTTGTTCCAGTTCATTTGAATAGATTTCAGTTATAATGTCCATTTTGTTCTGTAAGAAATTCTTTGTTATTCCTGTAAATTTTCACATTCCCCCTTCCTCTCGATTTAAACTTGTAACGAATCCTTTTTTTTTATCCTTTCATTAAAAGAACTGGTTCATAAGTCATTTGTTTCAGGAGTCATGCTCAACTGGTCGCAATGTATGTTTCTCATTCATAAAAAAGTACAACTGTGAATCGAGAAGCAATGTACAAGTACATTTCTACAAAGCTGCTGAAAATTGCTGTGTAAAAAAATGTTTTTCACAGTCAATATCGGGGTTGTTCAAATGAAAATCACAACCCATCTGCACCCACCCATCTGCAAATGTGCATATGTATACCTTTAAAAAGTTTTTACTGTATATATAAATAGAGGTTTACTCTCTTACTTTATACAGGGTCCAAAGAATTAATACTGGGCAAGCGGCAGCACCTGATAATGTTCTACCTTTAGACTGAAGCTACGAGCAGAATACAAATGCATCAGACAGATAAAGAGGTTCCAGCTCAAACAATAGCCTGCATAGAGTCCTGCACATTCACTGTCCAGACACTCCCTGTGTGTGTGCGTGTGGGAGGGGGGAGAGCCTCTCTCTGCCCTCTGGTCATGAAGGGTCCGCCCAAGCGTGCCTAACTAATAAAGACGAGCAAACACACGCATGATCATTTAGATCTGTAGTACGTGACACATGTCCAGAGTGCGGCAGAGTCTTATGTGTACACAATCAACTCTGCACTTGAGCATGCATGACCCCGCGGTGTATGTGTGCGCTTCGCAATGGGAACACACACAGTCACACACACACACACAGAGTGATTCAGTCACGTTATAGACTTGACTGTTGGGCTCCCGTGTGGTATGTTGTGCTTTTGTCCGGAGGGGAGAACAGGAAGTTAATGGCTGACTGTAAGAGTGCAGCAGTAGAGATTGGCTCATCTGGTGCTTCAATGTCACCGCTGGTTTAAACCGTTTATTGGGTTAAACGTGTGTCAAAATCAAACATGCATACTACACTATTTTATATAGTTTTTTTTTTACCTGTACACTTAAGAATGTGTGGTCCTGAATCTGATGTGTCTCATCGTGCCATAAGTGATGTTTTAGGAGACAACGCTCTGTCTCGTGGACTGAGAGGATGTCTTCCAGGCATTTCTGTCTCTTTAGCAAGACTGCTTTTTATCAATCTACTGCACTACAGTTTTCTCTCTCTGTATCCCAAAACAGACTCTCTGTGATTCAAAACTAGATCTGACTACAGAACCGTTTCATAGCAGTTAGAGTACCATGAGCTGATGTATGGAGCAGAGGCGGTCAATTAGCAAGGCACTGACATAAATTTTTGAAACTGGAATTAAGTTTCAGTAAATCATTTTTGGCAAATTGGGAAATTCAAATCTGTATTGTGTTCAGGGTGTCGTGTTCTCAGGTTCTAAATTAAACCAGTCGACATAAAAAAATTTAAAAAAAGGTCGTTCTTTGACAACGAGACTTCTCTCAATAGTTCAACTGAACAAATTTATCTGACATGTTTTCTCATGTACTGAGATTTTGCTGACATGTTACCTGTTGTACCGCTACCGTATTCACTTTGTCAGTAAAATAAGATGCTGAAGTGGTGAAAATGCTTCATCAGAGAAGTGAGTCTCATTCACTAACTATGCATACACATGAATTTGTCCATGAAATCTGCATACGAACATTTTCACGAGCAAATCATGATTCATCAAGAACTTTTGTATTAATTTATTCTACATTTGTGGGAAAATGCAGGAACAACTGAAACCACATGTACACAAAAATCTGCCACTTCGAGTATACTTATAAAAGTGCTTTATGCATAGATATTTCGTTATATCTATGTAATATATGCTCAAAGACAAAACATGTTTTTGGTTGAAATTTCAGTTTATTACTAGTTCAAATGCAGGCGATAGGAGTTTGAATGCAGCTCCCACCTTTTCTGTGTCATAATTTCCTGTTTTCTCTTCATTCAAATAAGCACAATTGTTTTTAAGTAAAATTAAAATTAGAAAAATAATTTCTATACTGCTAGTGTCACAAAATGAGAGTTTTTTTTTTTCAGTTGATTTACCTGTAGTTGTGTCTGTAGTCAACTTTAAAATAATGAAAAACACACACACACATATATATATATATATATATATATATATGTATGTATGTATATATATATATGTATGTATGTGTATATATATATATATATATATACACCCAATGGAAACAGGGAAAATATATATTTGTCAACTGAAAGCATTGCTGTTGATCCTGTGAAACTCCACTTCATCAGAGAAAAAAATCCCCTAATTATAGATCTTGAGTAAGACTTATTAAGTAGTAATCTGTTGCCAGAAGTATCATCCCGTAAGTGGGGAAAGTCGGACCTCTCTCAGTGACCGCTTTGTGACGTTGTCAGTGGGAGTTTTGGGAAGCTCCGTTCAGCTACGTGTCTGCACTCAGAAATGACTCTTGTCATAACAGGCACTGAACGTGAGGTGGGGAGACCCTCTCTACTAGCAGCCCAAGCAAATTTCCTCAGTCAAACCATGAAAGTTACACTGATTTGTATGTAATGATCATGTAATTTATCAATTAAGCCTGGAGAGGCCTTGGTTCTTGAGCACTGTAGTCCACTACCTCAGCACGAGGCAGACTAATGGCTCTGTTAAGTCTGTGGGCGTGTGAGGAGTCATGGTAGATCTCTCTCACTCTCTCTCACTTGCTCTCAGCTCTTTCGCTGTAAAAGAATAATTAAGTGATTTGCATTGGTCTTAAGCAGGGGAATTTGTACTGATTCCTACAGATAAGGGCTGTCGCGATGCCAACATTTCAATATTTGATACCAGTACCAGCAAAATCTCTTGATACAGCTGCGAAATGAACACAATGAATTTCTTTTTATTTAAAAGTTAATTTGTTAATATTTCTTAAGTAAGAGTTGCCTCAAGTTATTTAAAATTAAATTAATTTATTATTATTATTATTATTTTTTAAATCAACTTTGCTCCTGCATTGCTACTATGGATGATTAAAAGCTTTTTTTTCACAAATATTCTCTTTCTATGCCGCTGATAGGATGGAGCGGATGTCTGAGGAGGCGTTGAGGCTGAACCTGCTGAAGCGGGGTCTGGAGGCACAAGATGAGCGGGACGAGGCTCTGGCCAAGCGCCTGAAGATGGAGGGTCACGAGGCCATGGAGAGGCTTAAGATGCTTGCCCTCCTTAAACGCAAGGATCTGGTCGCTTTGGAGGGGGCAGCGGTTGCAGCAGCCATGGCAGAGGGCAAAGGCCCCGGGGGCAGCCAGGGGCTGATGGGAGCTGTGGCCTACGAGGAGAAGATGAATGGAAGTTTGAGAGTCGGGGGCCATGGAGGTCCCAGTAAGAATGGGAAGGAAAACATAGTGGATGAGCCAGTGGACATGAGTGCCAGAAGGAGGTGAGGTTTCGGCAAAGCGTTTAACATCTGTTTGTTGAAATGAGTACTGTATTTTATGGAAAATAAATTGCACATGACTATAAGCTTGGTGAAAATAGCATCGTTGAGAGAAAAATGTTGCATCTGTGTGTAAGTCAGATTTTATTACATTCAGAAATACCGGTAAATAAAACTAAACATTTACAAATATTATACACTCTATAAAAATGTATTTTGGTTCCGCTTACTTTACAACAAATCCTTTAAATGTAATGTTATTCAGAACCAGTGATATTTTAATATTATTGATATATTATTGTAGTTTTTATTAATGTTTTAAATCAGTTTTTATTTCTATATTTTAATTTTAATTTTCAAGTTGTAATAATGTTATTGTTTTTGTCATTTTTAGTAGTTTTTATATATAGTTTATTTTTATTTCAGTTTTAGTTATTTTAGTACCTCAGGATAAACTAAATTTAAAGTCCCCATGAAATCAAAATTAAAGTTTTTTGGGTGTTAGTATCAATATGTTAGTCTTAAGGTTATCTATAAGGCAGTGTCCTCCAAAACAGTGACAAAATTCGCATTTAGAAGATATAAGCATTCAAAGCTTGCAGTTCGTCACTTCCGCCAAAACGGCTCAACTATTTTTTTTTACGTCACATCGTACTTCAGCTTCTCATCAAACTTTCTGTCCAATCAAATGCTCTCTAGAATCCGAAGCGCCCGCCCCCTACACTATAAAATAGACACTGAAGCCGCGGCTGAAATCGGTCACTTGTCCACATAATTAGTATTTTCTGTACAGTGAATGGCACGTAGTGCACTATATAGGGGACAGGGAACGATTCAAACAGTGTAAATATGCTTTCCATTGAGGAAAAAAAGAAGTCTGGTTTCGCACTGTCACGCTAACCACCGCACCGCACACACACACACTCTGCTCTGGTCCAGAGACACAGTAGCACAGAGTGGATCACACGCGCGAGTCAGTACAGACCACAAAATACCTGTTTCAGTTAAAATGACGTCAACACATAGAGTAACGCTGCGTGATTCTAAGCATTTCAGGGGACCTTTAAATGAAAAATACTGTCTTGGCAGCTAGCTGAAATAACACCTTTTTTTATATTTTATTTTATTTCAGTTAACATTTGCATGTAATGCCTTTTTTCCTGATTGTTTTGAGATCACATCTTTTATGTTCACGTAATAAACGGAGACGATGCGCATCAAAGTTTTAGTGGAAAAACCGTCCTCATCTCTGCCGAACACCAGCGTTGATGGCACACCTGCTAAAAGCAGCTCCAGTTGTGCAGCACGAGAGAGATCGAAATGACGGAGACGTGCGAAGTAAAAGTGCAGAAAAGCAGTGTCTATTTCGTGCACAACTTGAACAAACTACAACAGGTAAACCTGTCAGCTGTGTGGACATTAACAATATCGTTAACGATTCTCGTTTATAATCGATACTAATATGGCTTCTTGTTATCAAGATCTTTAGTCTATATGCTGTGTTCTGTTACTGCGTGAACTTCATATAATTTGTAAGTGCACTTGCCGTCCAATAAACACCATAAGCTTTGTGCTCTGTTACCTTTTAATTAGCAAAGTATCAGTTTTAAAATTCTGCCAAATTCATAACGAAATTCAAACAATAAATACCGTTTTGGCGCTCTTTAATGAGGCATGAGTGGTTGCTTTAGCGCCTCAGTTCAAGCGGCATGTGAACCCATCATATCTTTCTCTTTACTACTATACAACGAAATAAACATGAATGGATGCCAAAAAGTATATTATAAGAGAGTCTACAGTACAACTTACTGAAATGTCTCATGTAATCGCTCATTCAGTGCTTCAAACGGCGCAAAACATTTAAAGCTTGTAAACAATGCCACGCAACAATCATTTACCTCAGAATAACCATTCAGTGTCCATAAGCTCATTAGTCCGAAGGGATGTAACGATTCACTCAACTCTCGATTCGATTTTCTCACAATTGTTTTTAACAAAATGAGATTGAAGACATTATACAGTAAATGAAAAGGTGTCGTTTTATTAGGCTATTGCTGCACGTTTCTTTGTGAAATTTAAATATAACAAAACTAAATTGAAATTTTAAAACAAACCCCAAATCAAACAAGTAAGTTACACAAATAAAAGAAATCTCTTAATATGAACAAACTGCTTTGTCTGTGCTCTTTCCATTTAAAATTAGAGGCAACCACTGGATTTTAATCATGATCCAAACAAAGATGCAGCATACATGCAGCATGAGTCGTTTTTAATCTAAATTAGACTGTATAATTTTGAAATTTGAAGCAAAAACAGAATGGTCTGACTTTAGTTTTGTGAAACTATACTACATAAAACATATCTGCACGAAACAGCAGACGAGCTGAATGAGACGCAGATTCACTCTTTGACAGCAAGTGGCGCTTATGAATAGCAATGATAGTGTTTCCTGGGTTACCGCTGTAAACAAAGCAGAGCTGTGCTTATGAACACTACTTTAATATGCATTGTTCAGAGGCAAGATGAAAAGAAAATACCACGTAAACTTTTCTAAAGATAGTCAGTTCCCCTCAGAGATACACTTAAATAAACTCCTACTCCAATTGTATCGTGGTTTGTTTGGCATCTCAACCGATTTGAATCGTCACATATTTGAATCTATTTTCGACTGGCTCGCGTTTAATCGTTACATCCCTATTAGTCAGCTAGAAAAAATAACTATAAAGAGAAGCATTTTGCTAAATATATGCGCTATATTGCATATTCATATTTTTACTTAACCTGTTTACATGAAAAGAAAGAATGCAAGGAGCTAAAGATAAAATTGCATGTTACTTAAGAAAAACAGTATGGATGTGTGCAAGACATATGACAACATTTAAAGGATGCATTGTGGAGGAGCCCGAACTACACTCAAGGGCCAAGTGATGCTGATGTGGTTATGGTCCATGATATTGGCACAGATTCTGTTTTTTAAACAATTCTTTATGACTGTATATAGTTCTCTGAAGTTTAAAAGACGTTTAGTTCCCACTTTAAGTGAACCTTAGTTCCCAGGACATTGACTTCTACAAGATGGATTAAAATGCTGATGCTGTAAAAGCAGGGGAGACATAAATACATGACAGTATGACTGAAATGTTAAGGTGTTTAAAATAAATAAATAAAATAAAACGCGTTTATTCTGTGGCACAAAATAATTTGGCGCCTATTTTTGTTTCTTATAGGAGTCAATGGCTCCTTAAGTGAATTATTATTTGATTTTTTTTTGTCTGGAGCCCTGAACGAAAATTTTTTTTTAATGGTTTTAATTTTAGTTTTTGTTTTTTTTTTGTTTTTTTTCAGTTTTAGTTAATAACAACCCTGTTCAGAATATAAGTATAAAACACACACAAATTATAGTGTCATTCATTATAAACAACCTTTATTTTAAAATGCCAGCCAGGACTAAACAAATGTATTTAAAGTGAAACTGAAACTACTGGTGTGAGGGAAATGCGTTATATAAAAAAACTTGGGCTCACGTACCTTGGGATCAGTCGTTTACTTGCTTGATATTAACTGCGTTGTGTAAGTTGCTTTGTTTTTTTTATAATCTGAAATGTGCTACAATTTACATTCCACTTATATTCTGGGAAGTGGGGTATGTTTTTGCTGTATGGTGTCAAATTAAATGATAATTTAATGATTGTATCCTGCAGGTGTTGCTAGGCCTTGTTTTTCAACTTGACTCCCTTAAAAATGAGTATTTAAAGTGCCCCTAAAAATTCCTCTAATTGTGCTCATCATAGTGAAATAGTTCGGGAGCGACGCACTCCATCGCCAGACGTTATCATTTTATCAGACAACGAGGCGTCCAGCCCTCGGAGCACGCCTCACCCTGAGGAGAAACGGCATCAGGCCAACCTGGAGATGTTTAAGGTGCAGTATCCCATGAAGGATTCAGCTCTGTTGTTGGTTACCCACCATTAAACCCTGTGAATGAGTCTCGTAAACCTGTTTGCTGACCTCTTGTGTGTGTGTTTGTTCTGCAGGGGAAGACTGGCGACGAGCGGCAGCAGATGATCAAAGCTCTCCGAGAGGAGCTCAGGCTGGAGGAGGCCAAGCTGGTGCTCCTGAAGAAACTGAGACAGAGTCAGATGCAGAAGGAGAACGTGGTGCAAAAGGTCAGAACCGTACACAATGTCCTGTACCTCCATTACTCTACACTTGATGCCAACTGGGCCAGTAACTCTACACTCTGTCAGTTGGGAATTTTAATTATATTTATTGGATGAACAGGCATGTTAGAGACCTTTTTTGAATTGAGAAAACATCTCAGCCTCATACCTACCATACCGCTGTGCACGTTTAGTGTAGTATACAGTTAGCTCAGTGCAGATCAGGCAGGTAGCAGTTCCTTTAAGAGACCAGAGACATCACGAGCTGGCTTTGATATCACTGTCAAGAAGTTATTTGAATATAAAATATATGGTAGTCAAGTCATGCACAGGATTTTTGTAAATAAAGTCATATTATTTCAGATGGATGGGCAAAATAAAGTGGATGGAGTAGCTGCAGCGTGTCAGAAATGGAACGCGATGTCCATCAGCTGAAGCTGCTTCTGGTGTAAACAGCTTAGTTTATTTTTGTTATTTATCAATTTTTTTAATGGAAGGGATCTTATTTTGCACTTTTCTGGTGTAAAAACGCACAGGCTTGTTTATTGTCATCTAGACTACAGCTAAAGACTACAGCTAACTAAGATTATATTCACTGCCGCTCAGAAGTTTGGGCTCATTTTTTTTTTTTAAAGAAATTAATACTTTTATTCAGCAAGGATTCATTAAATTGATCAAAATTTACAGTAAAGGCATTTACAATGCAACAAAAGTTTGCCATTTCAAATAAATGCTGTTCTTTTGAACTTTCTATTCATTGAAGCATCCTGAAAAAAATGTATCATGGTTTCTACAAAAATATTAAGCGGCACAACATTTTCAACATTAATAATAAGATGTTTCTTTAGCACCAAATCAGTATTTTACATGTATATGTGACACTGAAGACTGGAGTAATGGCTGCTGAAATTTCAGCTTTGCCATCACAGGAATAAATTACATTTTAAAAAATATGAACATTTTTGAAAACATTTTTAAAATTGTAATAATATTTTAAGATATTACTTTTTTGTATCAAATAAATGCAGTTTTAGTGAGCATAAGAGACTTAATCTTACAGCCCCCAAATTTTTGAACAATGGTGATACAAAAAATGACAACAGTGTGTGTGTGTGTGTGTGTGTGTGTGTGTTACAGTTTAATTCAAACAGCAACTAAAATTCTACTATAGTAAAGGCCTGGCTTATGAATATTAATTAGGTCACATGACTTGCTAATCCAAGCAAATTATGAATCAGTATGAATTAGTTAATATTCATAAGCTGTGACTTCTTAATATTATGTTTAATCATTACAAAATCACATCACAGTAGAAATACTTGTATTATAACTAATTTTTTTATTTAGTTTTATTTTTTTCCAATTTTGGTATCAACTTAAAGTGAAGTGCTGTTACTTTTAGCATCCTCTGTTCTGAATTTTACTGTACACTTCCACTTCCAATTTCTGTGAAATCAGCCTGCGATTGGCTTTCTCATAGTTGTCTCTGGATATTAAACTATAATTGGAGACAGCACTTTAGCATCAACTGAATGTCGCAGTGTTGTATGCTGTAAATCTGCCTGTATTTGTACTCCACATCTACACTGCAGCTCCTCTGTACAGCATGTTCACCTTCACTGTTTTAGCACCAAGCAAAATAACCTCCCCTCGTGTCCAGCTGAGTGTTATATTAATGCCAGGAAAAACTGTCGAGGTAAATCGTTTTATTGTTGAAAGGACGTTAGTTGCTAGCGGGGGTGAAATAGGGTAACAAGGAGTGAGACGGGCAGCCATAACCTCACAGATACCATATCACAGCTCTGTGTAATGTTTGTCCATGTACTGTGGCATTGAGATGTTTTATCTTTTGCTTCTCAACTCAGTGTCTGTCTAGATACAGGAGTGACCCATAAACACTCACTTGCGTTTGATGTCCCACTCTGCATGAACAATGTTTGCTTACTCTTAAGTTGGAAGATGAAAATTTGATTAGCTTAATTTAGGATAAAATAGTAACAATTTAAGTACCAAAACATTCGAGGCATATAATATTGTAATAATGTTAATATTGTCATTAATATATATTACTATTAAATTACTAATTACAATATTATTAGCTACAGCATTTATTATTATTGTTGTTGTTGTTGTTGTTATACATGTTAAATCACTGTTTTTGGAAATGCATAGTATTAATAACACTTTTTTAAAATTATTGTTTATGTACTATGTTCCTTGAAATGCCTTACCATGTAAAATACCACGATAGATGAATATGCTAATCATTTGTTCGGTATGTTTAATGCATAAATGCATTAAAATGTCTCTTCTACCTGATATATATTAGTGAAATAGGTGTGAGAAGTCACATATGTCTGTGACATCACTAGACTTTATAATAAAGCCAATCAGAAACCGCAGCCAAATGAGTTTGGGACAAGGCTACCTGATTTTTTGAACAGTGGAGTATGGGGAAGTGCTTGGATCAAAAAGAAAACCCCCCCACAAACAATCAGTAAAATCCCAAACAATACCCATTTTTCTACTTCCAATTCGTGGAAATCGCACAGGAGCTTTAACTGAAAAAAATGGTGCCCGAGTCCCTCTAATACATTGTGGGGGGTTTATTGTTGTTGTTTTAAATTATACTGAAACTCGGTACAGTATGAGTTTTTGATAGAAGGACTCTGACCTCTCATTTTTCTCTTTTCAGGTGCCGGTGGTCCAGAATGCCCCATCATCAGTGCAGCCGTCACCCATGCACAGCTCTCAGGGGCTCGGGAAACTAACTGTGCGGCCTGGCATGCACTCATCTGAGCCTCAGAGCCTGCGCACTGCACAGGTACAGGGGTTTTATGCCTTTCTAAATATGAGCAAAGTACAGATCGTTTTTTTGTTTTTTCTAAATGCATTATTGAGGATTTTAAGTACAAGCATAAAGCACATGGATACTCCTTATTATGTTGTACATATTAGACTTGAACATGTTAGAGCCTGCTGTTGGTTGCCATGGGAGCAGCACCTTAAGATCAGCATAACTGTATAGATTGGTACCAGTTACCATTTTTAATTACGGTCCATCTGTTGAGTACAAACAAAGCATTTGATGTCAACAGTGTGCAATCTGATATACAGTGTCTGCTGGCATCTAGTGGTCATACAGTGCATTGCAAAGTTATTAATAACTGTTTTTTCCCCCCACCTCAGGGCCACACAGTAATCAGGTCTGCTGTCAATGCATCTTTGCCCCCAATGATGATGTCACAACGGGTTATTGCACCCAATCCTGCCCAGCTTCAGGGTCAGAGAATGCCCTCCAAGCTGGGCATGGGCCGCTCCTCCACAGGTGGTTTGGGTAACACAGTAAGCTATCAGCAGGTACAGTCAAGTTCAAAGCCATTAGCCCTAACTTGTTTTGTGGGTTTTCTCCATGCAATTTATTGACATTTTTTTCTAAAGTTCATGTGACACATTTGTACATTGTTTAATCCGTTTATTACTGGCTTATTTCAAACTACTGTATTCATGAACTAGTGCTGGGCGATTATAACAAAATATATGTTCATATGTTTAATAGTAAGATTTTTTTTTTTGATCCACTGAAGACTTAAGTAATGGCTGCTGAAAATTCAGCTATTCCCCCACTGGAATAAATTGTATTTAAAAAAACGACTACAATTTAAAACAGTAACTTTAAGTTGTAGTAATAGTTTACAATATTACTGTTTTTACTGTATTTTTTTTAAACGAATATAATCAGCATTGGGAAGCATCTTACCGACACTAAACTTTTGAATGGTAGTGTGTGTATGTGTATATATCTCAGTATTTATATATTTGTCTGAATATATACAGTTGTGCTCAAAATTATTCATACCCTTGGTAAATATGATCAAAGAAGGCTATGAAAACTAATCTGTATCATCAATCCTTTAGATATTTTATTTTTAAAAATTTACTCAAATCTAACCTTTCATTGGAGAATAAGAATTTAAAATGGGAGAGAAATCTTAGAGAAAATGTTTTTCTCTAATACACATTGGTCACAATTAAGCATACCCTTTTATCCAATACTTTTTGCAACCTCCTTTTGCCAAGAGAACAGCTCCGAGTCTTCACCTATAATGCCTGAAGAGTTTAGAGAACATGACAGGAGATCAGAGACCATTCCTTCATACAGAATCTCTCCAGATTTCCAGCTGCATGTTGCTGCTTCTCCTCTTCAGTTCACCAAACTCATTTAATATAGGGTTCAGCTCAGGGAACTGGGTTGGCCAGGGCGGTAGTGTGTGTATGTGTATATATCTCAGTATTTATATATTTGTCTGAATATATACAGCTGTGCTCAAAATTATTCATACCCTTGGTAAATATGATCAAAGAAGGCTATGAAAACTAATCTGTATCATCAATCCTTTAGATATTTTATTTTTAATGACAGGAGATCAGAGACCATTCCTTCATACAGAATCTCTCCAGATTTCCAGCTGCATGTTGCTGCTTCTCCTCTTCAGTTCACCAAACTCATTTAATCTAACCTTTCATTGGAGAATAAGAATTTAAAATGGGAGAGAAATCTTAGAGAAAATGTTTTTCTCTAATACACATTGGTCACAATTAAGGTTTTTAATTTTTTATCCATTGGTATTTTATAGAATCCATTATGCCTTCTGAACAAGATATCCAGGATCCAGGACATGTGTATACAGTGGGACACACACACACACACACACATATATATATATATATATATATAGTCATTTTGAACAAGTATTTGAACCCATTTTTTCAAATGCACAGTTTGAAAAAGGTTGCTCCTTTTTTTCCCTTCTGGGGTTTAAATCATGTTAAAATATAATTTGAATCACTTAACATATCTCTTCCTTAGGATGGTGCATAAAACAAGCCAACTGGAACAGGCCTTAACTTAATAGCCAAATAAAAATTGTGCATTAAATCACAGCAATGTTCATAGTGTTGTTTAGTTCTATATCACCAACAAAATCATATTGAGTATGTCGTATATTCAATATATCGCCCAGCCGCAAAATGAATCATTAATAAAAATGGATTATGTCTGTTGCTGATGATTTGCATTTTTGTTTTGTGTGATGCAGGCTGCCAGCCAGCAGGTGGGGGTCTCGCAGCGTTCAGGCTCATCCTCCGCTATCTACATGAACCTGGCACACATGCAGGCAGCGGGAGCTGCTGGTGTGGCTGGCGTCGGGGTAGGAGTGAGTGGGGTTGGTGCTGTCAGCCCCTCTACACTTTCCAGCGCCTCCAGTATCGCTTCTCTGAACGACCAGGCCAGCAGCCAAGCAGCCGCTAAACTGGCCCTCCGCAAGCAGCTGGAGAAGACCCTGCTGGAGATACCTCCACCTAAACCTCCAGCGCCCCTGCTGCACTTCCTGCCCTCTGCTGCCAACTCTGAGTTCATCTACATGGTGGGGTTGGAGGAGGTTGTGCAGAGCGTCATTGATAGTCAGGGTAGGAGCAAGAGGAACAAAGCACACCACAAAAACAACTTGCACAGTAGGGCTGCACAATATGGCCAAAAAAAGTATATTGCGATTTGCATTAGAATATGATAGACGTTGACGTCTGCTGATCAAAGATTGGCTGAGATCAAAACTAAAATATCAAAAAGGTAAAACACACAAGTGGAAGCAGTTTAAGACCATTCACACTTGACCTAAAAATGAATGCGGTTTAATAATCACATAAGGCCATATTGCAGTTTCAATTTATTTATTGTTGATCTAATTCACAGCTAATTCTGCTCAATCATTAAACTCCTGTTTTCTGCTTTTGCTATTGCTCAGGTAAAATGCGGGGGTCACTGCCACACATGGAGCCGTTCTTCTGTGCCCAGTGCAGGACTGACTTCACCCCTCACTGGAAGCAGGAGAAAAGTGGTCGCATCCTCTGTGAGCAGTGCATGACGTCCAATCAGAAGAAGGCCTTGAAGGCTGAGCACACCAATAGGCTCAAGAACGCTTTCGTTAAGGCTCTGCAGCAAGAACAGGTCAGTCAGTTTTCATTTTACTGCTGATAGTTGTCAGGATACCAAAATTTGAATGATGAAATTAAGCTTGATGATTTTCTATATACGCAAGTTTCAGTAACACACCACAAACTAGTATGCTACAGTGCTGTTATTGTTAGCTAAAACTAAAATGATTAAAAATTGTTTAAAAGAAAAAACTTAAAATAGGGCATATTTTTAAAACAACCTTTGCCAAATTTAGTGTATTTTAACATAAAATGACAAACTTCACCTTTATGCTGAAGTACTAAAATTAAAATAAAAAAATTTATTTAAATAAAAATCTTTTTAATTTAATTAAAAAATGTAACTGAAATTATAATTAAAACTAAATAGAAGCTGATCCAAAATATTAATAAATACAATTATAGTATATAAATAATTAAAATAACACTAATACGCTAAAAATAAAAAGAAATATTAACAAATTTAAAAAAAAAAAATATGACATATAACCTACATTTATTTCTGAATTATTTAACATTTGCTTCAAGTTTAAGTAATTAATCACAACAAATAAACTATATACAAATAATATGTAATAATATTATTTATTCATACAGACCCACTATTATTAGTAGTAGAAGTGGTAGTAGTAGAATTGACTTGGTGTTGACATTGCTAGCTTGTAGTTTCTGTAACTGTATGTTGACTTACTGTTTCTGTCTCTGTCCATTCAGGAAATAGAGCAGAGGTTGCAGCAGCAGGCTGCTCTGTCCCCCAGCTCCGCCCAGACTGTGCCCAACGTGAGCAAAGGGGAGACCATGATCCGACACCATGCCCTCCGACAGGTGCACACTCCTATTGTGTACAAATAATGGAATCTCATGAGACCATTTTTCTGGATTTTGAAATGGCTGTTTTATTCTGGCCCTTCAGCTAATCACAGATTTTAATGACTGATGATTCTATCAGTTTAATGGTACAAAGAGGTGTCATGAAATTTAATGCTGATTCTTTCTCATTTTCTCTTTTAGACTCCCCAGCCACAGGCCGCTCTACAGCGGAGTCTGTCCAGCTCAGCACGAGGTGTCCTCTCTAACTTCGCCCAGGCCTCCCAGCTCTCAGTGGCCAGTGGGCTGCTGGATATGACAAGCAAGCGCTGTGGCAGCAGCAGTTCCAGCAGCAGCAGTCGGGCTCAGCATGACAGCCGCAGACAGATCTACAACATCCCTGGTAAGATGATGCAGTTTAATTAGGAATGCACAGTATACCTTAACTACATGATTTTAAAGCAGCACGGTGAAGAAATGTTGTATGGTTAAGGATTAATTAGGGAATCACATTTTTTTTAAACTGACATTCATCCACACCTGAAGTCCAGTCTCGACTCTTTGATTATGCAATTCTTAACATGTTATTGGACCCCAAGTAGACTGACTAGAATAAAATTACCAGAGAAAGTAATATGCAATAGTCAAAAGGAAAATTTATGATAAAACAGGTGAACACTAGGCTGTGCCACCTGACACCGATTTCAGGATGTAGAATTATTATAAAGCAGTGAAATTCAACACTCTCTTCATTTGAACAATGGCTGGAGCTAATGCTTTATAGAGTTTTAGTATGTCATGACAAAAGGATGAGTTAATAAAATGTTAATTTAAGTGAAGTTAGTGAAGGTCTAACATCCTTTCTTTGAAGATTCCCCTTGTTTTAAAATGTACTTATCTGTGATTTATTATTTATTTTAATTAGGGCTGTCAATTTATTGTGTTCATTTAGTTAATTAGTTATGGAAAACAACGTGTTAAAATTATTAACGCACCCGCCCCACCTCTTTTAACTAATAAAAGGGATAGTTCACCCAAGAATTAAAAAAGAAAAAAGAACATTTCTTTCTAAAGCTACTTTTTGTCATGTCTATTTGAACCTTTTCTAACACAAAAATGACTTTAAATAATCTTTTGGGGGTGATTTCTCAGCCAAATTTGATTCAATTTAATGTAATTTACTTTTTATTTTTAATTAAATTTTTATTCATTTTTTCCCTTATTTTGTTGTATTTTATTTTTATGTTCTGGCTTGATTGTTGGGATTTGATTAGAATTTAGAACATGTTCTTGTCGTTTATGTCACAAACTTTATTTTGGTTAAACACCCTTTTTCAACTTTTTGTCTGTCTTTTCTTATTTCCTTGAACTTTCCCGGCCCCTCTCTGTCTTTGTCCTCCATCGCAGGTCTGAATATTGCTTATCTAAATCCGGGAGCCATTGGGGGCCACAAGGCATCCAGCCTAGCGGACCGTCAGCGGGAGTATCTGCTCGACATGATTCCCCCACGCTCCATATCCCAGTCCATCACCGGGCAGAAATGAGCCCTGACGGGACTGCAGATCCCCCTTTCGGATGCCCCACCACCCCTCTGTCCTACATCAGAACATCCCCCAACACATACACACGCACACCATCACCCCATCGCATGCAGTGCCTGTCCGTGTGCCTACCCAACTAACCCATAAGAACAGCTCAATCAGTCAGACTATAAACACCAGACTGTCAGTGCATCTCAAACTTCGGTTTCCTACTATAGCAAAGCTCTTTATTGTTATCTCAACTTATTATTGCTGTCGTTAATGCTACTTCTATTATTATCACAGTTATTATTATTAGTATTATTGTTGCTTCTGTTACAGTTACTCTTATTACACTTATTAGTAGGTTTAGTGGTTTTTTGCATCTTTTTATGTTCTTACCCTTATGTTTTTCTTTACAGAGGGAGGATGCCAGATTGCAGGGTCACTTAAAAATATAAAAGCTTGTTTTTTTTTTGGTTTGTTTGAAGGCTTCCTCCCTCAGTCACCCCTGTAAAATTAGACTCATTCTCTCTCATGTCGTATATGTTCAGTTTCGGAGTTGGAATGGTTAAAGCGTTCTTACCGGAGATCGAGAGAGCAGAATCTTTGTAGCGTTACACATTCGGAAACTACAAAGTCCTCCAAGAACCTTCTGGTTCAGAAAGAGCGAGACAGACTCATGTACATTGATCAGATTGATCCTTATGCAGAGCGCTGCTCATCTAGTCAACGTTGGTTCTGCCTTGAGAAGGCCACACAGATACGTTAACAGCTGAAAATAGGACCTGCACTAGCACGGATGAGTCTCCTGCTGTCGAATGTACAGAGAGAAACTGTCAAATTGGAGGCTCTTTACTTGTGCGTATGCGCCCATGAACAGGATCTCTCCCATGTCTCTCAATGCCTTCACATTCACAGGATGCAGTGATTTCATACAACTTCTTTTGTGGTGACGGTGCGTTTCACTGCACAGCAAAGAATGAAGCCAGAGAGTTCCATCATCATGAACTTTGTCTCCTTTTTGATTTTTGTTTCTGCTTGGGTGTTTTTGGATCATTTCTTTAACCCCCCACCCCTTCCCTGTCTTTACGGTTTTGTTCTTTTTATTTTAATCATGCGGCGTCTCCATCTGAAATGGCCACGTATCTTAAAGGTACCTGCCAAGGGAGACGATAATCATTGAAATGGTGGAATTGAAAAGGTGGAATTGTTGGAAAAGTGGTTTATGCGTAGATTGTTAACGTGAGTTTTAACAGAAGGCATTGACATGGATCAATCATCGTGTTAAAGCAATGCACATGAGATGCCTCGTTATGGAGGAGCACTTTTCTTCTTAATAACTGAAAAAAAATGGTTAAACAAAAGAGGACAAGAATGTTTCAGCGCACAGGATCTTAAGGTATGGATGCCATCGGATGTCTCGGAGAGAGTTGGGAGAAAGACTTTTTGTGCTTTGTGCGGTACATTTCATCTTTTCGAAAGCGTCCGGCTTTTTCAAACCCACAGTGAATTAATGCTTTTTGTGTTATGGTGCATGTAGACATAACCTGGAGGCGTTTGAATGATGGCAACAATATAAGCAGTGTTTGGTCAATATGCAGTATTAGGGATTTTGTGCAGGATGGATTTTGCATTCTGGTTGGACTCACGATAATCTTTTGGTCAGATTTAGTTCTCTGTTAGTGAGGTAGTGCTCCATGTTTCAGTTACGTGGATCACAAATGGCTTTCGAAGGGTTTAACATCTGCTTGTTGACAAGAAGTTGAGCACTTAACATTTTTCCCTCCAGCCTAAGCATTTACTATGACCCGTATGGTTCTTTTGGAAATCAGACTTTGAGGTCTGTCATGCAGGTCATGTTTAATAGCTGAGAAAACTCAAAGCTATTATGTGTTTGATGGTGAATTCATGGAAATAAATCCATACACATGCATTTTTCTGTCATGTGTGTAGTCACTGATCCTTGCAGTTTGAATTTTTTTTATTTTTTACTGTCCTGTATAATGCCACTGATTTGTGGTGGAACGATGCAACTTTTGAACAAAAACATTTTGAAGATACCTTGGATGAAATTTTCAGGTGCAATATTAGATAATAGGATGTTTACACTTTTTTTTTTTTTTTTCCTGGTAATGATGATAAATCAGTCCCTTTTAGTCATTCTGTTCAGTCTTTGATATTAAGGGGATGATTTTATCTTTGCTCCAATTTTATGATCTGTAATATTTTTTTGTTGTTCTTTTGAAATGAACGTAGGGTGTTTATAGTAACTCATTTCTCTCTCCTGCTCTCTCTTGTAGACCATATTAGATGCATCCATATACCTGTGTTCATATATTTACAAGAAAGTTGGATTTTGAAGTTTAACTTCCTTTTGACTCCTCAATTAAGTTCCATTTTTGTTTGGTTGTTTAATTTCAGCTGTTTCTTAAAAAAAAAAAGAAAAAAGGAGAAAAAATCAAATTTAATCAAACAAAAAAAAAAATGTATGAACAGATGATGACACGATATTTGCTAGGTCAGAAGTAATAATGACTTATTGTACATAAGCTTTTTTTTCCTCCCTTGAATTAAAAATAATGAAATGAAATTAAAATGGTTGTATATTGTGTAGAAAAGCAAACAAAAAGCCATGAATATTGTGAAGCTTGTCATTTCGTTTTGTGATCACTGTGTATTATTGTGTAACAAATGTGCAAAATGTATGGGATTATACTTCTCTTGTTTTTGAATGAGCTCTTTAGATGCATTTTCTCCCCGGCTGTACGTTTTTGTAGTATGTAGTATTTGCAGAAGTTCATTGTTCTGGTGGAGCGTTTGATCCATTCTGTAGTCTTTGGACTGAGACATGATGGGACAGTCTCGTATGTTACTTTCTTTTATTTGATTTTCACTGTTGATTTCAAACATTGAAGTTACGTAGATGTTCAGTGAATAAGTTTCTTTCTCTAATGTCCCACACAAAGTGTTGGTCTTGCAGAACATGGACTGGATGAAACATTTGACAGTATTACCCCTCACTCGACCAAATCCAAAGCGATCATCATAAATGTAAAATCAAAGCACGCTGTTGCTCAATAACATTACTTTTAGATAAATTACTGGGTGCAGAAAACCCTACAGGGGAGATTGTGTACATTTGTTTTCTGTTGCTTAAAGTGCAAACTTTCCTCGGTATATCCCTTTTTTTTTTTCTCTTGGGAAAAAAAAATCACAATGCTCTTATTTTTTTTTCATGGAAGATTGTATACATTGTATACGATGAAGAAAAAAAAATGTTTTGTTTGTTTTTGACTGTTCCAATGCTTATTGCCTTCAGCCTTTAAATCATGACAAAAAATAGACAATTTGCACACATGCAAGTTTTGATTCTAAGGTTTGTGACATTATTAGACATGCTTTTTCAAGTTTCATGTCATGGAATCACTGTCCATAATTCTCTGACTGGACAATCAGCTTTTCTGGAGTTCTAGCGCTGGGGTTTACTTCTCTCTTCAATTTTTTTTTTCTTTTCTTTTTATTTCTCTGCTATTTTTTTCCCCTCTCCCTGATTTTAATTTGTTGCAAGTACAAGTCTTTTTGTTGTTGTTTTTTGAAGTGGGAGAGAGGGTTTTGGGTCATCATTTCTTTTTGATTTTCTAAATTTCATCTGAACTTTCAAATATTTTTAAATAGACTTAGCTGCAATTTACCCAGTTTGAATTTGAAAGCAAATGGCAATATGTTGAAATCCGTTTGTAAAAGGATTATGAATAATTAAAATGTGTACAGTAAAGAAGTACTGGAGATTGGCTTAAACAATTATTGATTTTAGTCAAGGAAAATAAGTGCTTTTTGTCAAGTTTTTATTTTCATTTAGAACATTAATCCAGACCTTTTGCACATCCTTGATATTTAACTGTCTAAAATGGAGATGGGGAAAAAAATGCTGTTTGATTACTGCCGGTTGATTAACAACAATTATGCATTGACTGAAAAAAAAATAAGCTAATTTTGGAGGAAATAACTTTGTAATATTTATCACTTGCAAGCTATGTTTAATAAAGGATGGAACAGTTTATCTCGGAGTGTGTTAACATTTGTTTATAACTCATTTCTAACGTTCTTTGTTTGTTTGGTTCTTTTGCCATTTTTAAACGTTCTTAGTATTTCTGTCCTTTTTAAATTTTTCTTATTTTTATATATTGTTATTATTTACACTTAGATTTTTCATTTACATTTTAAAACCTATATCATTGTCTTTTTTCTTAGCCATACTAAAGTTATTTTTATTCTGTTACTGATTAACAATGTTTCCAGTTCTCACACTCTTCCAGCCAGCACACACATGGTCTCCTGAGCCCTGGTCATTCATTTACAGACTAATTGGCTTCATTATAAGCTTTGACTTTATCCGGTCACAACAATTATAGCTATTTTCCACAGCATCACTGTTCCCCTGTATCCTGCCAGCAGATTCAAGGTTGTACTCTCTTAAGGGATGATTTCTGTTCCAACTAAACCAGTGTTAGTTGACTCTGGTGCATGGTGGGATCATCTGAAATTAGACAATGAGTTATTACAAGATTTTCATTTTTATTCTTGTCACACATTACAGCAATTGGCAGGTGTCTTAAATTAAATATGCCTGACCGATCACAAAAGAGTATTAAAATATGGGGACACATTTTTATCAGGAGACATGTGCCCCAGTACTAATGAAAGGTTTTGGGCTCTGATATTCTGTATGAATTTCAGAATGAACTTTGTATTGACCAAATCGCATTATTCAATTACGTTTCAATCCTTAATGCTCCATTTTGCTAATTTAATAGGTGAGCTAATATCTAATAGCATTGCTGAAACAGACCGTACAGTTCATAATCACTTGCTTTGTGTTCAGACATGCTTGTATTAAGCAAGATCCACATCTAAAATTTTGCACAACTCACATGGTTTTGTTTTTCTGGGAATCAACCCACAAACATATTTCCTGTGTTCCACTGTGCTTTTTCGTCTGGGACGTGTTTCAATGCTCAACATGCGCCCACCTGCTCTGATGTCTCTGTATTACCCAACCTCTGTTCCTGGGCCATAGTGCAGATGCATCAATGAAAGAATGTGCTGGGGTCCGAAGAGACGTTAGGATCACAGAGCGTTCTGTTCTCTGACCTTGAGCGTGTAATGGGTCAGAACTACACATCTGGGCAGGCCGGGGTCATAGCACGTATGTGTCACGCTAACATGTTAGACTGCAGGCCTAGTTATATTCTCAGATTAGGCAATCAAAGGTCAGGTGAGAGCTCTTGTTGAAAAGATTTAAAATCCACCTAGCATAAAATGTACCAGAAAAGCATCCCACTGGAAATCTGGAGCGGTTCATTTTCTGTCTTTCCAAGAATGTATCCCTCAGGCCACTATATAAACATTCAGTGACTGCAAACTGCAAACTATTAGTCATTAATATTAGTGTAATTTCCATGTCATTTCCACCTGCACACACATTGTTTAGTGACCGCTTGTCCCGGTTACATCTCCTTAGTCATCAGGAAGGCTGTCTGGAGGTTGGTGGATGTCACTACTTTGGAATGAGGTTCAGTTGGGAATGATCCCTGTCATCAGACCAGCTGCAGGGCTCGGACAAGGTAAAACCTGTTCCTCTCTAAATCAGTCTGCTCAACCAGTCCTAATCCAACCGCTTTTTTTTATAGTTCTGGATTACTGGTGATTTCTTGGCATTCTACTGTGGCTGAATCATTTTGTCTGATTCTTAATATTTTTCAGTCTCTTGCCAGCAATAGAGGGCAGTGTTGAGCTGTACTGTGTGAAGTCATGCTGCATCAGTGGTTATGTTCTCGGAGTGATTCTTTACTGACCTATCCATCTTCAAATGCCTTGATTTTATGTTCTGTATTTGGACATGATTTTTGCTGATTTTTAGTGGATGCATGGAGTGTAAAATATAAAATTAATTCATCACATTATAGATATCCACTAATATCTGAAGACAACCAGAAAGTGTCCAAGTACTTTTAGTTTATCAGGAGAATTTTATGCTGTTGCAGCAGTTAGAGATCCATCCGTGTTGGAAATATAGGTCCGGGTTGCTAAAGACCCAAATATGTAATAATGATTGGTGAAACATCCATGCATTTAAGGGTTAAACTGGTGTGAACATTCAGATCTCCTCTTAAATATCTCCAAAACTAAGGAGATGGTTATTGATTTCAGAGAGAGAGAGAGCAGAATCTATCCCATCCTACATTAAATAATTGGGAGCAAATACTATTAGTATCAAATTATAAATACCTCGGTATAATGCTGGAATATAAGCTTATATGGGATGCTGCATGGACTGATTATGTAAGCAAGAAGTTTCAACAGAGAATGTATTTCTTAAAGAAATTACTTTCTTTTAATGTCCATAGCAGAATGCTTTTGATGTTCTATGGGGCTTTTATGGAAAACATTATGACGCTTTGTGTCTTGTTGTTGGTATGGTAATGCTTCCGAGACTCAGAGGAGGTCACTATAGGGAAGGTGGGAACAATGGCAAGTAAACTGTTAGGGATAAAGTTACCGAGCATTGAGAGTAGCCTATATATATATATATAAAAAAGTGCTGAGTAAGGCTAACACTATTGTGAAAGAAAAGAGGCATCCTTTATCTTACGGGTTTGAATTGTTGCCATCTGGCCGATGATATTGCGTTCTCAGATGCATGAAAATCAGGTCAAAACTATATTTTATTCCCCAAGCAATTAATTTCCTAAATTCTTCTTCCTTTATAGCGGTAACTGATCGTCAGTTAGTCTGGGTTTTTTTTTATTTAGATTTATCAGCATTAAATGTGACCTGTGCTTGCAAAATTAGTCACAATGAGATAAAAAAAAAAAAGAGTTATTAATTCATTTTCACATTCTCCATTAAAAGACCTTCAAAATGATGTATGATTTGTTGGAATCGGACTAAAAATGACTGAGCTAAACCTGTTTGAAATCGATAGTCAGCAAAGTCAATTTTGAGAAAAATCGAGTTAAAGTTTTCTGAAGGTTCCGAAGCAAAATCACCTGCAACGTTGCATCTTTTCCTCCACTTTTCTTAATAATAATTTCTATATTAATAGTCACAATATATTTATTTTTTTATGTTATCTTTGTTATTATAAATAATAACGGATGCAAAAAACAAACAAACAGTAGAACAAATATATATATATATATATATAAATAAAAAAACAAATAGGCTAGTGCATTACCTTTTTCATTTTACATCTAAACAAAACCATTCAAGAAAATTAAATAATCAAATGTAAAAATCCCTTTAGTGTGTTCGTTACAAATAAATGTATTATTAAAACTACAAAAGCAGTTCAGTCAAGAGCAGCGAGTGATTCTTTTATTGTTAGATTAGATTAACATTAAGCGGCCTATATTAAGACCCTGTAATGCACGGATCTAATATAATGTTACATATCAGATGTTTTTCCCCAACAATTCCCCGAACGTTCACTTAAGACATAACAGATTATGTTTGCGTGAATACTTAAATACTGTAATTATGTGTATATTTATGGGGATCGCGCAGTCGGAAGCGCCTTTATTCGCGCGCTTCGGATGACAGTCCGCGTGAGAAGCGAGCGGAGAAAAGCTACTCCTCTCAGAAAACGTAAAAATAAAGGTAATTAAACATCTTAAATTATTATTTGGAGCATTGGGATCGCTAGACGAGGGCTTAATGAACTCATTTTTGTGAAAACCTCAAAATCGACTAAAATCAACATTTTTTTTGCCCGAATTTCAAAATTAGGCCGTGCGCATTCCGACTCATTTTGCCAGCACGGGTCACTAATTATTGTTTATATATGCCAACTGAGATTGTTAAATGTCTGTGTGAGTATGCTGTTAACATATTTGAAATAGTTGACGGTAGCCATTGACTTACATAGTTTTTTTTTTTTTCATACAAAGGAAGTCAATGGCTACCGTCAACTGTTTGGTTCCCAACATTCTTCAAAATATCCTCTTTTGTGTTTAACAGCTGAGAGAAATGTATACAGGTTTGGAACAACTTGAGGGTGAGTAAATGAAGACAGAATTTTCTTCCTTTTTTTTTTTTTTTTTGGTGAATTATCCCTTTAAGTTTCCAAATAGTCTTTAAGGACACTTACAGTGTGCAGGTTAGACATATTATGGTAATGTAATGAGTTTAAATAGCAAAAGCTCTGAAGACACTGGAGAAAATATGTGAAGTAAATATGTTTTTCCCATCCACAGCTTGTTGGTGGTTGCCAGGGTGTTGCTATGCTGTTGCTATGCTGTTGCTTAGGTGTTCAGAGCGGTTGTTGGCACATTACTATGAGATTGCAGGAGTGATCTTAGTGGTTGCTAGGTTTTTACATACTTGACCAAGCCAAATGACCCCACTCACAAGTCTCTCGGGTTTCTCCTTCAGTGTAACTATAAAATTGTTTTAGCCTGTTTTATGATCCACAAAGTGAAAATTATATAAAAAATGCTTACAAAGGTAAAAGTATACCTCTTCTCAACAAGCCACACATTTTGAGGTATTATTCATGCCTGTAGTACAAATTATGCCAAAGTTTAATACTTCTAGTCAGGGGTTCAAATCATCTAATGAGATGCTATACACATAATAATTAAAAGTTTGTCAGTATTATTTAAAATTTACACTGTGACATCAACACTAATGGTCTAGCTAATTAGCCATCATCCAAAGCATAAAGGACTCCATCAAAGATTCTCACCAAACTCATCCACTCACAAAATTTATATAATTTACAGTAATTTAATTAAATCTGGTAATGTGTGTAAATCAGTAATATGGGATGAGTGAGACATTAGAGGACCTTTGAAAATAATTCACTATTTCTCAGTAGACAGAACAGCTCCGCTTCAGCTGAGATAATAATAACAGGAGTCTCAGTCCAGGGGGTGGATGAAGTTTTCATTCAGCCCTCATCCTCTGGCATTGAGAAGGTTATGGTACATTGCTCACAGGTGGCAGCTGTAGCACAGACAGTCCCTTCACTGTCAGCATTCTCACCTCCCCCTCTTTT